ACCTTTTRCACAATGCAAGGTGTTTTTTCAAATGCCAAAGGAACAAAGCAAATACAAGTAAGCGCTGCAGCAACTGAGGATTTTCTCCACAAGCTGTTTTCCTGCAAGAGTGGCAGAAATGAAGCAACCCCACTGACCTGACTCCCAAGCAGATTGGAAATAGACAGTAGCTCCCAGTCTTAGTAAAGCAGAGAAGCCTCATAAGATCCCTCAAGACGTGACCCATAGCAAGGCATCATCTTTGCAGAACATTGTGGTCCCCTCTGTGCCACCTTTCTGCTGTTCACAGCTGTTCTGCTGTTCACAGCTGGCACAGCCCCTGACTCCCAGCTTGCACTGTGCTTTTGCTCCCCTTCTCTGTTAATGGTTTCATTCTTCTTTTCCCAGCATTCCCGCTGGCAAACCCATTCAAAGAGACACTTAAAGAAAGCATTTCTTAAATATTACAAATAAACCATAGTATCATGGAATCTTGAGGGGCTGGTATGACCTTAAAGATCATCTAGTCCCAACCATCCCTGCCACAGRCAGGGTCACCTCCCACTAGAMCAGGTTGTTCAAGGCTTTAATCAGTCTGGCCTTGAACATTGCTGGGGCTGGGGCATTCAAAACCTCCCTGGGCAACCTATTCCAGTGTCTCACCACCCTACAGTAAGGTGTTTCTTCCTACATCTGCATGRAAACATCTTTTTCTTGGCTTTATTTGGTACTGGATCAGGAAAAAAAAATTCAATGAGAAGGTTTTCCATGAACAAGCTTTCAATTTTCTTCCAAGTAATCTTGGAAAGGAAATGCTGCATTATATTTAGTCATTCATTATTGGCTGCTCCAGTAACATGGAGCTGAACTGATTCAACCTATCAGCAGCTGGTGATTTTTTTGAAATCCAATTTCATGGTAGTGCTCTGCCTGAAGCACTGCTCTGCTACTTTCTCACTGCCAGCCATCTAACTGGTACAGTGTCTCTCTTCCCAGGCTTCTTCAATAATTGTGCTTAAATCTTGTGTGCTCTTGAGCACCAGAAAAAAAAAAAAAAAGACAACTTAGAATCCTTGAAAATGATCACAACATTAAATTATTTTTCTTGCTGGTCCCACCCAGCTCTGTGCAAGAGTAGGCCAATGCCATTGCAGAACACTAATTTCCTCTCACTTCATTCTCATTCCAAGCCAGTCATGCTTTTGATATAAGTTTTAGTGGACTGCATGTCAAGTAGAGAACATTATCCCAGTTGTACAGATTATCTGGACTACAACATTTATTTCTGAATGAAAGTGCGGGTAAATTGCCAGTTKTTTTCACACAGATGTCCATTGTGATTGCTAGATTTCCTGGGTTTACTGGTGAGTCCCAGGGCTGTATATGTACACTATCAAAACAAAACATTTAGTAGAAAGAAGGGGTTCACAAGATCACACGCTGTTAAATCACACCCTAAAAAGTGCAGAGATCCTATTTTTTAACTGCTCTTTCCTATCTCTCTTCACTGTGGCTAATACTCTCCATATCTTCTTTAATACGTTTCTTAAATTTCTCTTTTTCAGATATTAGAATCAATTTAGAGCACAGCTTTTTACTACCTGCCCTAAACTTTTAATGATGGTGTAAAGTAATCTTTATATTAATAGACCTAAACATCTACATGTCCTGCATTCTGAACCTTTGGAAGTATTAATAGAATTTAAATTCACTAAAAAATGTCAAATAGACTGTAAGGATTTTGAATAAGAATGAACTTCTGAATAAAAATGAAAATTATTTACTTTCAAATGTCTGTCACAATACCTGACCTACATGACAGTAGTTCACTTCTAAAACTCATTTATATATGATTTTTAATTTTTTTTTTTTAAGGATTTCTATATGCTCAGRAACAAACCTGTTGCTCCTAACACCATATGTAAAGAAAATGTTTTCTTATAATAAATAAATAAATACATTGCTGTCAGTTAATAAAATTTTMATAAAACTAAATTATTAAAAGGAAATTACTTTATATTTTAAAGTAAATATATTTTAAAGTAAAAGGAATTACTTTAAATTAGTGTCACTTTCAAGGGTCTTTTTTATTAAATTTTACCTTCTCCACATTGAACAGTTGTCACTTAATGATAATTCATCAGAATAGTTATGATTTTATTTCAGCTATGCTTTATGAACAAAGTTATAATTTGGTTTACAAATACTTTCAGAAGAATCAAGACCTCTTGAATATAAAGAGGATYTATACTTATATTTTAGCTGAACTTGTGAAAATTGTTATAAAAAGTAGGTTTCTGCCTTTAGGGTATGGTGAAGAGCAATAGAAACCCAGCCAGAAAATTTCCTACTCTGAGCAATTCCTAAGTGACCACCCAAAACCAGACAGTTTCATGAAATTATAAATTTGGATCCAAACACAATAAAAACCAGATAATCCACTCTCCAGAAGCTGTAATTATTTTAATGAGAGATGGAGGAATGCTCTTATTTTCACTTCTCTGATTYTACTAATACATAACTATAATTCAGTAATTCAGGGTCAGACAATGAGCCTTTGAGCAATTAATCACATGAGTGGTCTCACAGAATTCAATGTCTTCATTTAATGTGCCATTAAAATGGTACATGGGTGCATTTAACTAAAGCAAACACTAATTCACTGCAACACACAACAGGTAGCACTGCAAAAAGTGGGAAGATTGCTCAGCCACTATCCCCTGAGAACAACGAGAAAAAAACATGGCTTCATGAATTTGTATTTTTCAAGAAAAGATTTTGCTGAAAAAACACCTGAGTCTTATTCCACATTCTGAAAACCAAGACTATCAATTTCAGAATTGCAGCAACTGCTCTGCACAGTTTGCAAAATCAAGAAAATCTCAAGTACGGAAAGTCTAAGAAGAAATCCTAAAAATACTTAGGCATTAAACTGGAGAATTTTAAAGATAAAGCCAATGCCAAATCAGACAGATACAGAGGCAGCTCAGTCTCACCTGTAATCTCATCTGCTCTATGGGTGTTCATGTCAGCACCACAGCAGGCACCTTGTGCAGAAAGTACATCAGAGCTATTATGAGACTTGGCTGAAGTACAGCACAAACCCAGCACATTTTCTCAGGGAAATCAGATGTTTTCTTATTCCTGRTCATGTCTCCTAGGCCAAAACTCTTGTAATATATACATTTTTTTAGGTCATGCGAAGAAATTTCATTATGTCTCATGTTTAAGGAAAACCTGGGTATTAAACATTTATTTTCTATCTACCTCTCTATCTTTCCTTATGGCACAGCTTATGACCAAAATGTTGCTGGAGGATTTAGGATGTTGCCTGGAAGATGGTATAAAACCAAATGGCATGAGCTAAATGCCCCAAATCACCCCCATATGCCTATTTCTTTTTCATATTTTTTGATACACTGTGTTAAAAAAGAAGAGAGAAGAAGCAGGCACACTGCTCAATTTCCTCACACTGATGCAGTTTGCRTGTCTTGTTGCCATACTATTTGAGCAGAGAGATTTGGAAATGCATGCTACTCCCTGGTTTACCTAACAGTCTGCTGATTTCCTCAGCACACGTGAAAATCCAAATACTATTGCTTGCCCCAGAATAACTTCAGGAGTCCYTAACCTTTGCAAGTACCATATCAGCAAGGCCTAAAAGACATTGCATACTTCCTTGCTCATCAAGAGTAAATATTCAATAAATTTTAGAGACAAATGTCCTTCAWGGCTGAAGATAAAGGCTAATGAATCTGGAATTAGCATAGATTAACATGATCCAGTTTTAAAAGGTATTGAGGGAGTATGACTTCAACCCAAAACCCAGAATTCATGCCTTTCATCACCATCCCATAGTATCATACTTGAAAGAATCCTCCCCTGTCTTTCACTAATTTGAGCCAAAATATTAATTCACTCCCTGGGGACCATCCCTTTTCTCTGCTCTGTACTGAGATATGTGTAACTCAGTCTAGCTGCATTGGTTCTCTAGTTGGCATGCAAATGCCAGGTGTTTATGGAAATGTTAGTTGCAATACTGGTATGTATAGTGGGCAACAAAGAACAGTAGAGATCTTGTCTTCTAAGGTGCTTTTGTAGCTAGAGAAGTTCTGTAAGTCAGAAAAAATGTGCTCCTCCAGAGGGCCATTAAGAGCAAGCACCTGACTGTATTCTGATATGAACTTGGTAGATTGTTAAAGCCTGTGAAAATCCTTCTGCCTTCAACAGAGTGAAGTTTCCCTTTATTAATGTGCATTTTAAAGCCCTGAAGATAAACAATTCCCAACATAAGTTAGGGTAGACAGGACAGTACATCCTTCTGTGAAGTGCATTGCAGTTATTGAAAGGTATAAATTTCATAAATAATAATGCTCTATGTGTTGCTGTGTCCAGAAAACTCCATCCTTCCTCTTCAAATGTGTAACATATATGGAAACATAAACAGCCTTTGTTAGTCCTCTGACATTTCTTTGCAGAAAGACATTATGAAATTGATGTTTGTTACATTAATTCCCATGAAGAAGTTACATTTATCTTATTTGTCCTTGAAATTATTCAACTAAATGCAACTTCCCCATATGAAAATCCAGAACTGCAGCCCACCCTTGCTTCAGCATAAGATACTGAGGAAACCACTGTACCACAGAAACCATTAGACTGGGAAGCTTTGACTTTTTCGAGTTAAGGAAGAAGGATCCCTAAGCAAGGTTTTATAAGGCCTTCTAGGATCCAGGGACTTTTTCTCATTATTTTTAGAACTGCACAGGAATTAGTAATGCAATAGGTTATGTACCAGATATTTTGCTGGGATAGAACCCCAAATGCTGTTCAGACCATTTGAAACAATTGTGTCCACCATACTGGTGCCCTTTTCTGTAATATTTATTGACAAAAAGGCAAGAAACTGAAAAGAGTATAGTCCACTGATACTCTTCCTTAGTCTCTGAACTGTGATGTGTTTGAATCACGCAAAGTTTTCTAGTATAAAAAAGCAAGATGAAATTCAACAAAATACTTACAGCTCTTTGCATTAGTAAGGGACTTTCCGAACAACCTATCCCTTCATCATTAAAATTTGATTCCATATTGATTATGTCTTCAATCACCTCTTCCATCTGATAAAATAATATTTTAAGACAGATCAGTACAAATAATAATGGGGAAAAGTTATTTTGAAAACACAGAGGAATTCATTTTTGGTATCTATTACAGCAATAAAACTGAATTTCTTAAGTTTTTGTCTGAAAATTCAAACAGTTCCACACAATATTCACATTTTTTACTTCTTGTGAAAACAGTTGTGGTTTAGCAAGATACATCTCTCTCCTTAAACACCAGCCCATGACCTTATTGCAACACCATGACAGGAGCACATTGCTAAGAGGCAACTGTGACCTCTCATCTTGATGGAAGGGGTCATATCACAGGGCATTGCTGCATTGGTGCAGGAAGGCTGAAAGGATCCTGCGGCTCTGCAATGATKGAGTCTCACAAGGTTTGGTGTTACATGCTGCTCTCGAGGTTCAGCAGGCAGAGTTTTGTGTCATGTTTAGCAGTACACAGGATACTGTTCTAGACAGCCTTCTGGTTTCACTTTTGACCTAACCTGAGCCAAAAATTGTTGAAGCAGGTGGGATAGCTCATTAATTAGTTTGGATGAAACAAGACCTATAGATATATATAGATTTGGACATAGTACAACATGAGTTGTCAATGATAATTATGGTCTGACTACTTTCACAAAATAGTATTGGGAGATCCCATGATGAGCATGTCACGTTAACTCTGCTATCTGCAGCTCTTGGGAGCTGAAAGAAGTGTAGATAGTCCAATGCAATGAAAGTATCACACAGACAATGGACCTTTCAACACAGACTATTAGGCCACGTGGCCCAGCACAGCTCATACATGCATTCCTCTCCGTCTCTAAAACCAGGGAAATGTTGTTCCAGGAGTTGTGCCCAGGATACCAAGAAATGCTGGCAATTACACAAAATGACTGTAGTTTGCTGAACCAACCTCAGTGTTGGCTCTATATTATTTACTAATATGACTATAGCCTAATCTCAACCACAAGGCACATCCACATTAGGAATTTACACTGTGCCACTCATCCCCCTGTGGTTCTGAGATTATTCAAATCATTGAAAAGTTTCCAGATCTTGGCCAGGGCCAACTATCACTCTCCCAGTCTTCACCAAGAAGGTGAAGGTCACTTCAGAGGTCTACAGAGAGGTTTACAAGCAGCAGTTTTGCCCATCAGGACATAGGGTGGTACAAGGGCAGGTTCCTGATCAGACCCAAAATGCCTGAGAACAGTTCCAGTACACTGCTCTTTGCCAGTATGGAGGTGGGCATCCACAAAGGCCATTTAAAATAGCATTTTAAAGTAGCTAATCCATAAACCTGCCTTAAAATGTCAGTTGTCAATGCAGAAGGAATGGAGAGGCCCCAGATGAACTCTTCAGGAAGCTTTATGAGCTCCCTCATGCTTCACTACATAACATCCAAATGCTCAAGTGAGTCACAGTGTATTTGTAAGATTCTTCTGTTCTAATGAAGTCCTAGACATGATACAGCATCTCCATTTCTCATTTCTGTAGGAATCCCCCTTTTACATAATAAASAGTCTCTTTTGAAATCTACCGAAGTATTAAAGGCCATAATGACCTACATCTCACACTGGCTAAGAATCTGACATTGTATTATAGCTGCACACTACTGAAATCGATGGTGGCACTAAAGTTAGCAAATCCTTTGGTTAGCCAATTTACCCAAGATAACTGATACAAAAGTATGCCAGCTAACTGAAAAATGAATGAGTGATTCTTTCCGCTATTCCTTGAAGGTAATCAGTACTTAACTGGCTTTTTGTGGAGCTAGGTTAATACCTTTAGACAGAAACAATTYCCATCTGAAAAAAAGTTTTGCTTGGCAAAGTGCACGTTCAGAAAACAAGCAACATATGATTTATACRTAAAACGATGCAGCAGCACATTTTATCTGGCAGCAGGCTAAAAGCTTAACCCTGCAGTAAGCTATTCACAGGCATGCAAAGGAATAACCCACAAAATTCCAAAGGATACAGAAAGCAAAAGCTGTAACCACAGGCCCCTTGAAGGTGAAGAAAATCATCTCTTTCCCACTACTAGTCCAAGGTGTGTCATGTAACATTTTAGTAAAAATAGACAAAGCCCAGTTCCCCTTTCCCTGACTCAGCCCTGCCCTACCGCATTTTCGTGTTCTCCCCCAAGGGCCAGCAGCTTGGTGACAGGGCTCTCCGGAGTGCCGATATTGCTCACTGGAGGCATGTGTCCGTTCCTGAGAATGGAGCTCACTCCCACCGGCTGGATCGTGTGAGAGTGGGACAGGGACAGGCTCTGGCTGGACAGCTTGGTGTCAAGGGTCAGGTACTGCTTCACCTGGTGCCTCTGGCTCTGCTGTATGTGGTATCTGGACTGATTTTCCAAGTGTGTTTGTACCTGGGAAGAAATGGAAATAATTGCTGAAGCTTCACATTGCTTGTATCAGTATTTATCCATGGGCTTGTTCACTTAAAAATACTTAAAAAAAATAAATTCAGCTTTAACAACGCTTGGATAGAATTATTAACCTTTTTTTTTTTTTTAGTTTTACATCCTTACACATTTTTTATTTGTTTACCATTTTCCCCTTACAAGGCTGAACAAACACTCTGAATAATTGTAAAGGAAAAACAGAATTAGAAAAGATAACCATGATCCTGAGAAAAGACCAGAAACACGCTACACATTTTTCTCATTTAAAAGTGATCTCTCTTGAGATCACTGCAATTAAATCTACATGCATATATGTACTCTAAAATTAATATTAACTTTTTTATACATGAAAGACTAAATAAATGCATAAAGAGAAATATAATCCAATCAATTAGAATGGTTGTGACAAGAGCATGTCAACAGCATGTGTCAGCAGCAGCAGACATTCACTCACAGCTAAATCCATGTTTGTCTCACCTTGCAATAAGTACAGTCATTTAAATGAGGCATTGCTGTGGTCCCAGCTACAGCTCTGAATGTTCACTATGCACAAACTGTGCAGACTCTTSAAGTGCTTCTTGTGGACAGATCACATTTTTAGTGGATAGGGCTTTATAAACTCAGTGGTCATGCCAAAATGGCTAATTCAGTAAGACTTTGGGCCATCCTTTGATTACAGAGATTGACAGTTGCTACTTCAAACAGCTCCCATTTCAGATMAATGCCACATTCCTGCAATTTAACTACCAGAGGAGCATTGCATACACAAACCTTACTGTCATTTCAGCCCTGTGGCTCTCTCCTCTTTCCGTGGCATGACTGGTCACAAATGCCTTGCAATAAATTTTTTTCAAGTGGCCCCTGTGTAAGCATGATTAATAGCTGTTAAATAATAGCAAGACTTGCTTTGTAGACTTTTTTTCTAAAAAAAAAAGAAATATCATTTAAGCAAACTTCCCTTYGATTCCCCCAACATACATAAGCAGAGAGAGATAGCCCATAAAAGCAGTTTGCTTTTGAAGAAGCTATATTTTTTTTACAATATTGTAGTATCTACTTTATTTTTAATAGCTATGAAATAATTTTAAATTAACAGTTTTTTAAACTAATTTTCTAGTCATATAAAAATGAATAAGCCATGCAGTAATGAATATAAGATTAATTATTTTGGATGCAAGCCTTTAAGTTATTAAATAACATGCCATTAAAATATTTATATGAAATCTTAAATGCACTGTTTGGATTTTCCCCTGGTTTATGTTAGAAAGGTGTACATGCTATATACAGCTGCAAAAGTTACAGCTGTATTTGGGATTTAGCTAAATCATTATTTGTCTTAACTTWGATCTTAATGTTAGTTTTAGAAAGTGCATAATGCACTTTTGGTTTAAACTCTGATTTACCATGTTTAAGGATACATGTAAAATAATTCAGATATTTATGCATCTATTTAGTCCTTCATACTTAAGCTCATATTGAAAATTATGTACTGAAGCATTTTCCTAAATGTTAATCCAATGAAATCCACTGCATGCTAGTTTAACTGGAGTATTATTTTTTGGCAAAATCAAATATTTTGAAGCAAAATAAATACATCTCATTGGATGGTGGGAGCAGGAATTCTCTGCACACCCTTGTTTTCTGCTGCTCTTTCTTTCCTTGTGCATCCAAGGAAGTTCATTATTATCCTAAACTCTACATTCACTGACTGAATCCATGCTCAGCGACCACTACCCAGAGCCTTGCAGTGCCTAAACTGATGAAGATCTCTTTCCAGGAGTGCAGAATTCTGCAATCAACAGCCTTGAAAACACAGATCCTTTACGCAGCATAAACTGGCATAGGATCAACATATAGGCTGCAATTGYATTTACTGCATTTCATCCCAACTAATTTTTTATCTTGAATGAAGCCGATGAACACTTTGCAATGAGCAATGAATTTCTGCCTTAGAACTTCTATGGGCCTACCTGAAGCATAAAATCAAGGACATCATAKATCTTCAAATTAAATGAGATATGTACGAAAATTGCAGTGTCCAAAATCCATACTACCTTATTTTTAATTTGTTTTTAATAAGTAATTTTCATAAGGAAGTGAGTTCTACTACAAGAAAATAGCTGAAAAGTCAATGGCTTGCTTTTAATTTTCTCTGGGGTCCAGATTGCTTGTGGCAGACCAAAATCTCTGTGCATCCTCTTTTCTGAACCACCATAGAGCCATTCCACTGGGCACAGGGAAGATCTGTGAAAGACAATCAGCTAACTGCTGACTAGTAAAAATAGTTTATCAGAAGTGCTTATTTAGTATGACAGTCTTTCAGTGATTATATYTTGCCTTGAACTTACAAAAGCAGAGAAAGAATTAAACTTTGCTGATGTATCTATGTTGTATGGTTTTGCAAACCTCTCCACCCCTTTACTGCGCCAGTTACAGTCATTACAAAGCAGAACATTTGAGGTTAAAAATAGATCTATGCCCTGATTTTCATTTTTGTATATTCTATATAAGACTTAGTAAGTCRCTGCTAATGTAAATCACTTTTTAAAATCAAACCACACTGTAAAGACAAAGCAGAATGGGAAATTTTTTTTTTATAATCATATTGTTAATGTATAATAAAAGTGTGGGGGGTAAATTCATTCTATAAGAAAGGAATATTAAGATTGCAAGACAAGTTCTCAAAACATAGAAATTACTTTTAAAACTGACCATGTAATAAGTGTGAAATAGGAGTAGAAACTCAAATCCTTATAATTTTATAAAACCAGATAGGCCAATGTCTCATTCCATGTGTGACTGGTTTATTCTCCACTGGAATGTTGCAAGGCTTCTTTTATGTTTTATCACTGATATTAAGGTAAGTTTAAGTTTAGATTTTCTGAATATTACTGATGACTTAAAACACTTTTAAATAAGTATTACCAAAACTGAAAACATTAAACTTTGACTATCTTTTGAGCTTCATTTAACTGATGCACAAGGAGTGATTAAGCACTGGAACAAGAGGCTGCAGATTCTCTATCCTTAGAGATTTTCAACACATGTCTGGACAAGGCCCAGAGAACCTGAAGAAGCAAAAGAAATATAAAAACAGACAGGGAAATATGAATTGGTAGTCYACATATAGAAACTCTGAATAACCATTACCAAGTGTGGTGAAAAAACAATGGTGTCAGGTTAGAAGTTCTGTTAAACAAATGCAWAAAGCAAAAGGCCTGAAAGATCACTTCCTCACATAAATAATCCCACAAGTAAAATAACCAAGACCAACATGCACTTAGCTGCTTAGAGACTTTAATCATGTGCATTTCTTAAATCCACCAAACATAATCGGTCTCAAAAAAAAAAAAAAAAAAAAAAAAAAAAAAAAAAAAAAAAAAAAAAAAAAAAAAAAAAAAAACCCCAGGAAAAAAAGAAATATTTTCCAGAGTAGAAGAGTTTTTCTTTTTCCCAATAATCCTAGAATGGTATTCTCTAGGAGGGTTGGAAAATTGTTTTTTCAATTCAGCATTTTTTGAGGAATTCCCATAATCTGAGTCAACATTTTATCAGAGCCTATGTGGAATTTTAAGGCTCAGGTGTTGATGATAATACACCTTTTACTGCCACAACAGTCTGAATATAAGTTTACCTTCTTTTTTTCTTCTCTGTGGGTCAATGAATATTTAATCATTTGTTTAAAGCAGAAAAGCATAAAGGAAGACTCTGAAATGGCTTTCAACACAGAGCATCCAATAATCGGGCAGGTCGGTGGAACCTGGATTCTCATCTCTGACAAAAATTAAGTATTGTTRACAAAGCATATTTCTAGCTCTAAGCAGACCATTTTCTATTAAATGTCTCTCTGCCATYCTATTTTTCTTGTGAGATGGATGCCCTTGCTTGTTGGTATACCCGATTTCTAGGAAGAAATAGGCACTCAGTGACYACCTTATCATGCAGACCCTGCTCTGACAAACCTCAGACACAGCCCAGGACTCAGTGCTGTTCCCCTGTGCCTCTGCTGTAGCCCTTAGCACAGTCACTGACCTGGCCCTTCCTGCCAAGTGCTCCTGCTATCATGTGTAACAAAGAGTTGGATTTGTGCACATGAAGTTCTGGTTCTCCTCCCAGATATTCTCTTGCAGCAGCTGTAGCCATGAACTTTAAATGCTAATTATTCCAGATTATTCAAGGAATGAAGGACAGCATAAAATCTAACAGTTAATAGATTTTCCACTCCCTCCTAGGCACTGCTTTTGTAATATCTGGCTTTCCTAAACATGGTGAATTTAAAGTCTATTCAGAACCAGAAACATCAAGCATTAAGGGAACCAAAAGCATCCAGCACAAAGGCAAATATTATAACTCCACCAATTCCACAAAGCTGAAAAAGAAATGAACACTTTGAGACAGATTTTGTAATCCAGAAAAAGATMCCAATGCACAGTCAACCAACTGCATGCATTTCTATTTTATATCTCACCGACAAGCCAGTTCTGGGAACAAGACCATAACAACCTTTCATAATTACAGATGCACATTCGGACTTCTTCAATTGCTCTTTTAAATTTGAGCACACACCATCATGTTGCAACACTGCAGCACAGTTGTGTAACATCTTTTTCCATATTTGCAATAAGTTTGCTTTCGTTTCTAATGCATTGCACAATGGCATAACTCGACTTTCAGTMGTTTATTTACATAAATTGTTTTACTTCACAATTTTCTGGTGGGATTTTTCTTCTGTTGGTAAAAGAGTACATGGCAYATCAAAATGAAGAAAGAGGAACTATTCAGGAGACCTAACGTCGGAATGAACAATGTCACAGATATTCTGTTAAGCAGTGTTACATCTTTTTTGGTGTTCCATTAAGGGCAAGCAGGTGATATCTGTACTCCCAGGCTGCTCAGCCCAATGTCAGTCCCGAGAGAAATAATAGGAAAACTGAAAAGAGATTCAATTAATAAATTATT